ATAAAATTCAAAAAAATATAAATAAATAAATAAATTATTTTCTAAATAAAGAAATATAATTATACAAAAATAGAAAAAATAAAAAATTATAAAATCATTAAATTTAAAAAAGAAGAAAAAAAATCACAAATAATAATTAAATAACTTTATTAATAAAATAAATATAATACTACTGAAAATAGAAAAAATCACCAAAATAAAAATAAAGCATAAGTGATTAAAAATTAAAAAAAAAACAAAAAAATAACAAACGATAATTAAACTTTTTATTAATAATTCAAGTCACATTGGCTTGTTTATCGGCGTAGTCTCGTGTTCCTAAGTTCGTGCTCTGAACCCTGATAGGTTTTGGGGGAGGTGGGTCTTACAAGTCAGTTTATCTTCCTCATGTGGTTGATGCACGAAACATCGATCATAATCAGCACTTGTTTTTTAAAAAAAAAGATCTATATACAACTCTTTTCCTGGTTAATGAATGTCTCTTCTCTAGAGTAACTATGCTCAAATAGTTTCTTCTCAGAAACACCCATTGCTCTTTTAGCTTCTTCATCGTTACATTCCGTTGTTCGTTTGAGAGGGTTTCTTTCTTGTATTGAACACTACTGCAAGAGATTTCAAAACCTTTCATCAAAAAAAAACTTACTGCGAGAGAAAGCGAAGGATTAAACAGAGGATAGAGAACACTGTTTACCAAATTCATTCCAACGAAATTTCAGAACGTGCTTCGTCCAAAGCACAAAATATCAAATGGATCTGAAACAAATTCGCAGCAATTCGAAAAGGAAACTTTATGAAATCTCATGCCAAGTGAATAATCTCTGATTTTGACGGAGAGCCATTAAAACTCTAGAGACAACACGAGAAAAAAGAAAAAGAAAAAAAAAGAAGAAAATTATTAAGACTTGTGAAAAAAGCAATGAGCAAGGCAGCAGTTGATATGTATCATCAAAAGCTCTTCCTGATCGCAGCAATAATTTATTTCCTGTTTTGCTTTATAATACTTCAAATTGTATGCTCATGTAACAGATTATCATACTAAACAAAGCAAAAAGTTAGAATTTAAAATTGTTTCAAATCAAACTAATCTGTTTTGATCATGGTCTCGAACAAACTTCATGTTTCCATTCTAGAGATAGCAAACATTTGATAAGACTTAAATAATACTCAAACATTCTACATAAACTTCATTTAAAGTAATTACAGGCTATCTTGTTAGTGTTTGTCGAATTTTAGAGATGTATAGGAATTGAGAAAATAAAAAGTTGTGGAGGATGGATGATCGTGGGTAATTGTCCTAGTAAATTGTTTTAAGAAACTGGTGCCTACCGTTATTCTTCAACATTATTTTGTTGAGTGACTTACCACATGAGACACTTTTTACTTTTTCTTTACAGTTTGAGACACATCTTGCCGGAAGGACACATTTCCACAAACCGAGGTATGTTGTGGACCAAATTGCCCCTCGGCTATTGAACTAAAGTTAGGTATATTTGGTGTGCGTAACTATTTTTTTTTAGTTTATTTTAATAACTTTTGTTTGGTTAGAGTATTAAAGAAGGTTGGTTTATATGAAAGTGGGATTTAATTGTGGCCACAAGATTGAATTTTTTTAAAAAGATCAACGGCTGAGGGATATTAGTGACATATTAATGTAATTTTCGAAGGTGAAGCTTGTTCACAGAAACTAGTGTTTTCGAGAATAGATATTAGTGATATTTTGTGGATTTGTTTGTCGATTGGATGCAGTATGTGGATGAGGCAACTGCTAAAATCATGGATGTAGACAAGGTAAGATTCATTGATAAAAGACATACCGGTGAACATGGGTATTTGTGGATGTGGATTAGTATATAGACAAGGTAACTGCTGAAATTATGGATGTCGACAATGTAAAGTTTTAGTTGTAATGATGGGCAATGGGGTTGTGGTCAAGGTGAGGGTTTAGTTGTGGATGTGGACACGGCTACTTGAGGTTGTAAATGATGGTTTGCTTTGGGGTTACCATTTCTGTCAAGCTTTTTTTTGGCCAAACTGAAAAGGATCTCTTAAAAACATGAAGTAGGGAAACATTTGTTGCTCTGCAACTACAAAAAAAAAACCAAATAAAACCGACGATTTTTCCCAAACAAACAACAACAAAAAGTACATCTAAAGCCAAGAACGACAAAAGGAAGTAAGGGATATTTTGTTGACTTCATGTGAGAAGGGACCTTGACTTATACTTCTTCTTTCACCTTGGTGGTGGCCAGGTCCATCCTTGAACTAATCTCTTGGTTAACCTTCATCATATTGTCTTGGAATATTTATCTAATCATCTATCTTCCCTAGCTCCTTATCTACCTTTCCTAACCAAGCTTTTTGTAAGTCTAGCTGATCCATCACAGTTTTGGAGAGTTCTTGCAAGTTATGGAGAAGGTCCAGTCGCTTTGGACAGGTAAGCTGTGGATATGTGAGCTGTGGACGGGTGAGCTGTGGACGGGTGAGTTGTGACCGTAATGTTCTGCAGTGTATTGGCTGACCACATGAGAGTGTGATGGAGGATCATCTTCTGATATGATAGTGTCAATAACTTTAAACTGAGGTCTCCCACAAATATGTTGAAGTAACATGAATCTCATGGAACTAAAAGCATTGAGTGTCCACACTTTACCAGGAACAAAAAAAAATGTAACTCTTAGAGTTTAACATAAACAAGCGGCATTCTCTGATTTGCACCGCTATAATGTTTCAGAACACGGTACAAGCTCTCAGGGACATACTCCATAACCAAGTTGAGAAACAGCTCGTCTTTAGACTCTTTACTAGTGGTCGAGAAGAAGCAATGCTTCAAACAAACCACATTAGGATGGTCCATGACACGCATCAGCTGAAGCTCTCTGTTCTTGTCTTACAAAACTTTTTTTATCGCCACGGTTTCTCCGGTCTCCAAACACTTTGCCTGGAAAACTATCCCGAATGAGCCTGTTCCGACAACTCTCTCCGCCATGTAACTTATTGTCTGTTTTGGTTCTCCGTTTTTGCCACCAATTGTGGTGGAGATTATGTGACCGGTGACTTGATCATGTCCATTAACTACAGCAGCTGGTACCTCCTTTAAGAGACAAAGCTTGAAAGGTCAGGAAAAGACTCAAGTTAAGCTTTAATGCTTGTCTGAGAATTCAAAAAGGCTTTAAAGAAGGAAAATTTTATTAGTCAAAAAGAGTGGTTAAGGAATATCCGTTACGCGTATATACTTTTTTTTTCTCACGCGAGAAGAAAGGTAAACAGAAACAGAAACGCATATAATAAAACAGAACAGAACAAAGAATGAATCTATGCTCAGTTTCTGGATCTAGCAAGTAGAATACAAACTGTGGATTTAAAATACAGATCCAAAGAGAGATAACCAACAGGGCGCTAGTTCAAAAAACCCTAGGAAAGATGCTTAATTTACACACACAAAATCAGAATTTGTTTACTCTTTCAAGTGAAAGCTAAAGAATAGGTAGGGAAGTCGTTGAACTCATAACTATTTCCGGAGCTTAAAGATCTAATGGTAACTCGAAAAGAACAAAGAAGAAAACTTTTGAGAAACCCAGAACTCGAAAACCCTTCAACTTCAAGAACACTAGCTTTTGGTCGACGGTGACCGTCGTGTGGAGTCGAGTCTACGACGAGAAGAAGACAGAGGAGAGGAGAGAACGACGATGGTAGTTAAAAGCGGCAGACGATGAGTTCAGCCATGATTCGGAGGAGGAGGATGACGGTGCTGGTAGTTACTATCGGCGGAAACGAGGTTCGGATGATTTTGTTGTTTTGCAAATAAATCTCTCTCCCTTGTACACGTTAATATTCGTTCTTGATTCGATCTACACACAAAGCAACGGACTTTAATTACTCAACCTCATACCAAAGAACAAACTAAAAACAGATTCTTCTCTTACTGTTGTTCATAGTGTTCTTGACAGATTGATGAAGAAGAAAAGGGAAAGGTAAGGAGAATTAAAGATAGATCTGGAAAAATTTTTTGGAAAAGTATCGTCTAATTTGTGAATTCATTTTACCAATTGTTTTATTATTTAATTAGAGGCAGAAAGGAGAGTGGAATTCTAGTTGAAGGACTTTAAAGACATTACACATGCATATTGTGTGTCTCCAGCAACATGTGACTTAAAGTGAAATTTATAAGTGGAAATGTGTCCTAGAATGTAAAAAATTCTATTTTGTTTTGATTGTTTTTGTTATTTTGTAAACATGAATTATGTGACAGCATTTAATTGGTTAGGTGATTGTGTTTCAGTATATAAAGGATATTTAATTCTATCATATTTTTGTAGTATATTAATTCTATAATATACTGATTCGTTTGATCAATGATTTTTTGATATTTTATTTCGAAGAATTCAACATATTGTGAAATAAACAATAGTTTATACTGATTATTTATCAAAGTTTAGTTAACTGAATTGTTCCAAATAGTTTTATATTTGTTCACAAAATAAAGTTACATAATCAGGTTTTAATGGAGAGTATGTTACAATATTTATCATGTTAGCGCTTTGAAACAAACTGTAAAAATCTGATCGCAATGATAAAAGAGTATTAGGCTTAGTCAAATTTTACAATGGAAATGAAAGTTATAAAAATGTTACATAATTGTTTTCCAGATTTCGAAATATATCATATTTCAAAACACAAAATGAAATTTTTAGATTTTTTAGCTAAAATTGGAATCTTTTCATAGAAAACTTTCTTATATTGGTTATTTTACTTCTATCTAATCATATAGACCACTTTAAACTTAGAGTAACAAAATAGTCAGTGTGTACGATGTAAGAAAAAAAGACAATAGGTAGAAGAGGCCGTTAAAAAGAACAACGTCACCGTGAAAACAATTCTTAAGTACGACACGTCTTGAACAAAAAAAAGTACAACGCGTCAAAATATAATATAATTAACAGAGTTACACACTCCTCTGCAATCTTTTTTCTTTTTTCTTTTCCATCCTATTATTTATATATAAACACTCTCATCACCTCTCTGATCTCTCACTCTAGATATATTTCTCTCCCTTGATACACAGAGAAGAGAAAAAGTTTCAACAATAGCAATAATGGTGGTCGGTAGAACATTGTTCTCAGTCTCACCAACTCTGATCATTGTTCTAACACTCTTTGTCCATGTAAATGCGTAAGTTTGGAGATTCTTAAATTATGCGATCTTTGGATTTTGTCTCTATCACTCGGACAGCGATTCTTACATTTATGTTTGTCTTTTTGTATTATTACAATGTAGAGTCTTAGAAACAAAGGAGTTGAAACCTGATCAGAGCTCAAGAAATACATCAATGGCGGATTAGTGAGTTCTCACTTCATTTTTAGGGGTAGATTTAACTCCGTCGTTCAGATTGGATCTATTATATTAAACGAAGTCGCTATGCATGCTCTGTTTTTTCTCAGTGAATGGCATGAACACGCCGTTAAAGACCCGGAAGAAATAGCAGCCATGGTCGATATGTAAGTCTCTCTCTCTCTCTCTTAGTAGTCGGTTTAATATTTACATATATATACTGTATAAGTGTATATACACTTAAAAAGGGGGAGAACAAAACACCTTTTTAGATATATATCTTATTAGTAACGTTTCAGATAGTCAAACGAGGTGATGCTTAACTTGAACTTATGTTTATGTATAAATATATGCCAAAAAGAATGAAAATATTCATAATTTCTTTTGACTACTAGTTAAAATTTACTAGGAATTGTGACCCACAAAATTGATTTTCTTTTTTTATAAATATAAAAGTGTGTGTGGTGCATCTATCTCTACATTCCAGTGTAGTAAGGAAAAAATAAATGAACATGTGAAACCTTTCTGACAGAAAAACAGCAATTTTATTGAATAAAGCCACACATCGTGATTCCCATTTATACCTCACTATTTCCTCCTAAGATCCACCGACACCATTGTATTAATGTTTGCATACATTGTATATGTGTAGTTAATACATACAATGTCTTATTTTAATACAGCTAGAACACAAAATGATGTAGTATTAACTTTTGACGTAAATTATAAAATGAAGCAATGAGGATGGGTGTTTTCTTTTGTCTAAGTGAGGCAAGGGGTTTAGACTATGTTAGGGTGAGTAGAAGTTGCACATTATTATTCAAGAGAACTTTCGTCATCTTTGACAAAAATTATACTAGTTTTTATGATATTTATGAATGCAATATATTTTATTTATGAATGCACTATATCACTTTAACACGTCTCAAAAACGGTATTCCAGTTAAGCAAAATAAAAACGTTATTCCGTACGTCTTATTTATCATTAAGAACATTTATCAAGTTTTCTCATTTATTTTGAAAATAATTATATATACTGTATACTTTAGACATGCTGAAATATAACAGAACATGAGAAATCAGTAATTAAAACCAGCTTTGTACTTTGTATGATGGTTCTGCAAAAGAACTTTATCCAAAATCAAAATTTATTCTATTAAATCTTTTATTATTCTGATATTTATCTCATATACTAGCCAAGCCTTAACTGAAATAGCAATAGTATTGATTAATTAAATTTCTCTATGTAATAAAACTATGCAGATTTTTGTTAAATTAGACGTCAAATGGAAAAATGTTAGATACAAATTAAGTGCTTCTAAACTATTAATGAAGAAGTAAAGAATTATTAGCTGTTAGTAAAATTAACTTTTCAATAACAAAGTTATATTCTATTTTGTCAATAACAAAGTTCTGCAACGGAATATATAGAGAGGTGACCAAAACGAAACATTACAAACACAAAAAATGACCAAAACGTTGCCATTTTTTTTTGCTTTTGACAACGACCAAAACGTTTCCGTATGTGATCGTATCCCATGAATATATAATTCCTTATGCCAGATGACATTAAATTACCGACCCACCTCACCAGTATCACATCTAGTTAAATTAAATACAGTACAATATTGCCTAATCTATTCGTGAGCATTTATAACTAACATAAGCGGTTGAAAATAAAACTTAATAAGTTTTTGAGTTTCCAATTTAAAACTAATTGGCAATTAGTAAATTAATTAAATCTTTTATATATTATTCATATTTCATTCATATTTCAATGTAAAATCTTTATTCCAATAATAAATAATATTATCACAGGAGAAAAACAATAATAAACACCAACAGACTAAATATTTATTCTGAACGAATTTTGTCCTATTCTTTTAACACAATTCATTTACTGTATCCCCATCTTAGGAGTTTCTAACTCAAACCGATGTCCCCATCTTAGGCTTAGGAGATTTTAACTCAAACCGATCTCCCCATCTTAATCTGAACAGAAAAAAACTTAAACTCCATCTAAACGTTATCCAAAAATATTCAAACAAGACTTAATTAAGAGCTTCATACTTCCAGGTTCGGGTATAACTCAAACCAAACCAAAATCTGAATTAGGATTAAAAAAATTTGAAACTAGCTAATATGTATAATAAGGTGAATTAAATATTTAAAAGTATTTAAAAGATTTTATAGTTTTGTTTTTTTTGTTATTTTGAATATTTTAGTTTGGCTAACTTAACTAGTTTTAAACTAGTTTTTTGAATAATTTATATACTTTGAGTAATTTTTTATTTAACTTTTTTAAAAAATATATATTTTGGATAATTTCATACATTAATTATAATTCGGTCCAAACCAAATCCGGAAGGAAACAAACCGAATCCGACCCAAAAATTAATAAAATTTTAATAGGACTTATGAGTATAGTACCAAAAATCTAGAAATCTGAATCAACAGAACTGAATCTAATTAAAGACCCCAAACGTCAAAACATAGTATATAAATATCTTCTTTTATTTAGGATTAAAATAATATACTCCCTCCGTTCCTAAAAGATCCATGTTCTGGAAAAATATTTCGTTTCAAAAAGATGTATATTCTATGTTTTCTATGAGAAAATCACAAGTTTCAAAAAAAAATAATTGATTTTATTAGATTACTATTGGCTAAAAGTTGTTGAAAATTGAAAATTACGGAAAACGATAATGATTTAATGTGTTTTCTTAATATGTGTGAAAACACTAAAAAATCTATATTTTAGGAACAGAGAGAGTAATAAATAAAAATGTTCAAATCAAAAATAAACCGTCACTATTAATTCTTTTTTTCCAAAATGCTGCTGTAAGGAAAGTTTCATTTTTCATAAGGACACGGCTCTGAGTGTATTCCCTAGCTTGACTTTGTACACTGTCTATTGTAGTAAAGTTAGTAACCATGTCGGATCTCATGAACGGGTAGTAAAATATCTGAGATAGTTGCTTAGTTAAAAGCATACGGAAAACCACAAATGATACAGATATGTTACAAAAAAAAGATGAGATAGAACTGGGTGGTCTTGGGGAAATCCATTATCCATCTCGAAATTAATCGCAAAGAGAAAATCATGGCTCAGTTTGATAAATCCGTAACTTTCATTAACTTTCTGATTGTATTTTAATTAAATACTCTTATTATATTTGATGCGAAAAACTACAGGAAGATAAGAAACAGTACAGAGCGGAGGAGGTTAGGCTACTTCTCCTGCTCAACTGGAAACCCAATCGACGATTGTTGGCGTTGCGATAAAAAATGGCATCGCCAGAGAAAGCGTTTGGCAAATTGCGCGATTGGATTCGGACGTAACGCCGTGGGAGGCAGAGACGGACGTTTCTACGTAGTCACAGACCCATCGGATAACAATCCGGTTAAACCTAAACCCGGTACGCTCCGGTATGCTGTGATACAAGACCGACCGCTATGGATCGTTTTCAAGCGCGACATGGTCATCACTCTAAGTCAAGAGCTCATCATGAACAGCTTCAAAACGATCGATGGTCGTGGCGTGAACGTGCACATCGCTGGTGGAGCATGCATCACGATTCAGTACGTGACCAACATCATTATTCACGGGATTAACATTCATGATTGTAAGCGTACTGGTAACGCCATGGTTAGAAGCTCCGAGACGCATTATGGTTGGAGAACGATGGCTGATGGTGATGGGATCTCGATTTTTGGGTCGAGCCATATTTGGATCGATCATAATTCTCTGTCGAATTGTGCTGATGGATTGATCGATGCGATTATGGGATCTACTGCTATTACCATTTCCAATAACTATCTCACTCACCACAACGAGGTTAGCTTTCTTGTGGCTTACGTTACTAAATTATCGGATTAACAGAAAATCTTAGGCCGCCTTAAGAATGTTTACAACACAACTACCAGAATTTTTCATTCAGAACTTTAGAGGACAATATTAATTTCCCATACATAACTTAAAAGCGTTCACTTTTAAAGGACTATTCGTTTTCTTTTCTTCTGCTTCTGATTGGCAGATGGGTTGTGCTAAAAATGGTAGCACCTTCCTTCATCTAGGGTCTTTGACTTTTTCTTTTGATCAAGATATACTACGTTTTCAAAATGCAAAGAACCCTATAAATGCAGATCAAGAAAGTTGCTGTACTTTTATTTTGCGATACATTCAAAGGCTGACAAAAGATGTTCATGCAGGCTATTTTGTTGGGGCATACCGATTCCTACACCAGAGACAAAATGATGCAAGTGACCATTGCATATAATCATTTTGGGGAGGGTCTTATCCAGAGAATGCCAAGGTGCTTAATCTTTGGTTTCCTCCTGTTGGTTAATTGGTATTAGAATGTTTTTGAGTTTTGGAAATTTTGGTGCTATTTCAGGTGTAGGCATGGATACTTCCATGTGGTAAACAACGATTACACTCACTGGGAAATGTATGCAATTGGTGGAAGTGCAAACCCTACCATCAACAGTCAAGGAAATCGGTTCCTTGCCCCGGGAAACCGGTTTGCTAAGGAGGTATTTGATAAAAATCCCCGTTAAGATCAGCTTTCTAATCTTGAAAAGTAGTCATACTAACATGTTTTGGAGCAGGTGACGAAGAGGGTAGGTGCAGGGAAAGGAGAATGGAACCAGTGGAACTGGAGATCACAAGGAGACTTATTGCTCAATGGTGCTTACTTCACTTCATCTGGAGCTGGAGCTTCTTCAAGTTATGCTAGAGCCTCTAGTTTGGCTGCTAAATCAGCTTCCCTTGTAGATATGCTTACATATAGCTCTGGTGCCCTGAAATGCAGGATCGGTACACCTTGTTAATCATTTGTACAACTTTGGAACACACAGAAAATATATGAAATGGGAAAGAACGAAGAAAAAGAACTCGTTTTTCTTCGTTCCCATTTTTTTGACTCCAGGTTGTATTATAGTACATTGCTTTCTTCACCCACAATATATTCTTCTATAAGTAGATTGCTTAAGCTCAGAAAATTTACTACTTTTTATATGCTTTCATTTATTTTTGGACTTATAGGATTAAATCAAATCAGATAGAATGGTTTTGCAATAGAACAAATGGTCTCTATCAAGTGAGGATTACAACCATAAAACTAACAGAACTCTGTATTACAGAGATTGCATTCTTAAAATGGAGTTTCGGACTCACTTCTTTTTCATTAGCGCTGTATAAAGTTGATCTATTCCACAATTTGTTTTCTTGCAACTGTCTTACAACCTCTTCCACTGGTGGTCTAGTTGAAGGCAAAGGAGTTTCAATGCCTGAACCAAACCTTCTTCCATAGAACTCATTACTTTAAAAACCTCTAAAAGGAGTACCTCCATTGTTCACTCCTCCAAAGACCGCGGTTATAATCAATGAAGGTAAAATGTACAAACTCATTATTCTGTTCGCTTTTTCCACGTTTCTTCCCCATCAATATCTCTAAGAGAAGGATCCCAAACGCATAGACATCGGTTCTTGGATTGCACTTCTTCATCTCGTGGAGAATATTGTTGGGCCCAAAATCAGCTCACTAATTTCGATAATGCGAGATCCGTTAAAAGCTAAAGATAGCCACTAAACAAGCAAGCCCGCAAAGATCTCATGGAGCAAGACGAGAACGAATGTTGGATCCAATGACCGCAAAAGGGTCCAGACCCATGTCCTATCATCGCATCGTGGTTAGCGAGCATGATGAGGTCGGGGTAAGATCCCGAAGATGACGGAAGCAATTAGAAGAGGAAAATGCTATAAAGGAGAGCTAGAATGGAGCACGATGCACACACAAAAATCTTAGAGCATATCACTAATCACATCGACCTCACTCCATAGACTTCTAGTTTGCTTATAACTTTTACTTTTCATTGTTGTTCTCCATCTTGTTTACTACTTTGTATCAAATCCCATATTCAATAAAGTCTATTTTTGTCAACCGAATTCCGATTGTATCGTTGTATTTAAGAGCATCGTTGCCCACATCATTTGTCTTCCCTTGATTAAACTCTTGATCACTACAAAATATTTAGCACGACTTTGGCGCCGACTGTGGGGAAGATAAACGAAAAACGCGCTTGCTAAGAACCCGATCAAGGATTTCTAAGCACAACTATGGATCCGAACCGAACTCGATCCGGCTATCTCAAAAGAAAGGCAGCAGAACCCGATTCATCGAGAGCCGACACCATGGCATCGCTAGAGAAAACATGACCATCTAACGGTGATACTGGCGGCCTATCGAAAAAGAGAGCTCCACACTGAGAAACAATTCCCTCTCCAAAAACTCAACAGCCAACAAAAACTGAAAGAGGAACCACCATCACTAAGGAAACCCCGAGCCGAAAAGAAACGCTGATCTTCTACGAGTTCGAAACAATTAAGCTCGATATGCCACACGATGATGCCCTAGTCATCGTTATCGACCTCACCGGAGTCACCGTAACAAGAGCTTTCATAGATACGGGCAGTACCGGTAATATCATCCCGCGAGACACGCTTCGATTGATAGACCAAAGCTGTCACACCGTTAACCGAGAGATTGATCTCCACATTGACTTTGACGGCAGAAAAGTACAATTCTCGGAGACCGTATCTATCACGACCAAGGTCCACAATTTAGAATTGAAAACCAATTTTGTCGTTTCCGAACATTCCATGCACTTCGATGTCGTCCTGGGAAGGTCGTGGCTGCATAAAATGAGGGCAGTCCCTTCGATCTACCACCAGTGTGTTAAATTCATGTCACCCACCAGAGAAAGACGATTTATAGCAGCCATAATAGATCTAGAGCATGCTACTTAGCAGTGTTTCGAAAAATACATCCACGAGAGAATAAAATTCCATCCACTCGCGACCTTGTGATCAAGAAAAACGAAGAAGGTCTTTCGAGCTCCATCCCACTCGACGAATGGTCCCCCGATAAATGCATCAACAACGGAAACGGTCTCCCTTCGGAGATAAGGCATAACTAATTGTCATTCCTGAAACAAAACATCAAGACATTCGCATGGACGGCCGCCGATATGCCTGGGATCGACATCACAATAGCGTCTCACCATCTGAATGTCCGTCCACACACAGACCGGTCAAGCAGAAGCGAAGGAAATTAGGCCCTGAATATTCGCATGACGTGAACTATGAAGTTGATAAACTGATGAAGATCGGCTCCATCCGCGAAGTCCAATACCCGGACTGGCTCGCCAACCCCGTTGTAGTAAAAAAGAAAAATGGGAAATGGAGAATCTGCATCGATTTCACCGATCTCAATAAAGTATGTCTAAAAGACAGCTTCCCGCTACCACATATCGACCGTCTGGTAGAAGCAACAGCCGGACATGAATTACTATCATTCATGGATGCTTTCTCTGGTTACAACCAGATCCCGATGGACCTGGAGGACCAAGAGAAAACGAGTTTCATCACCAAACACGGCACCTATTGTTATAAGGTATTGCCTTTCGGACTAAAAAACACAGGACCCACCTACCAACGATTGGTGAACAAAATGTTCGCCGGTCAGCTCGGTAGAATGATGAGGTCTACATCGATGACATGTTCCTCAAGTCATCGAAAGCGAACGACCATGTCCTCTAATTCCAGGAATGCTTCCAAATCCTCAATAAATTTGGAATGAAACTAAACCCGACCAAATGCACCTTCGGGGTAGTTTCAGGAGAATTCCTCGGATATCTGGTGACAGAAAGAGGAATCGAAGCTAATCCTAAACAGATCACGGCGCTCGTAGACACTCTACCGCTGAAATCCATCAAAGAAGTGCAACGACTAACCAAAAGATCGCTGCGCTGAACCGCTTTATATCGAGATCAACCAATAGGTGTCTTCCATTCTATAAACTCCTGAAAGGGAACAAAAATTTCAAATAGAACAAAGAATGCGATGTCTCACTGAAAGCACTCAAAGCATATATAAGCCAACCTCCAGTATTGTCGAAACCAGTCGAAGCCGAAACACGGTTCCTATACGTGGTCATGTCAGAACACGCAGTCAGCAGTGTGCTAATCTGAGAAGAAAGCGGCGAGCAAACACCGATATATTATACCAGCAGATCCCTGCTAGATGCCGAAACGAGATACCCCGCAATGGAAAAATTGGCCCTAGCAGTCGTCACAGCTGCGAGGAAGTTAAGGCCATATCTCCAATCACATTTGATCACATTAATAACATCTCAACCGTTGCTAACCCTTCTCCATAGCCCGAACCAATCAGGGAGATTGGCTAAATGGGCGATCGAATTCAGCGAGTATGGTATCGATTATAAGCCTTAGACCAGTTCGAAAGGCCAAGTTTTGGCCGACTTTTTTATCAAGCTCGCTCCCAAAGAGGTTGACTCAAACTTCAACTAAAAAATATGGAAATTATACATCGATGGCGAGTCTCGAAGCAAGGATCAGGAATCGGAATAACGCTCGAATCCCCAACCGGAGAAATAATCGAACAAACATTCTTCTTAGGATTCAGCGCCTCCAATAACGAAGCCGAATACGAAGTCCTGATGCCGGATTATGACTTGCTTGAAGCATCGGAGCCCAAGAAATAAATGCCTTCAGCAATTCAAAATTAGTCACAAGCCAATTCCACGGGGAATACAAAGCAAAAAACGAAAGAATGGAAGCATACCTCGAAGTCTTGCGGGAAATAACGGAACAGTTTGATATATTCGAACTTACGAAAATACCTCTAGGTGAAAACACATCGGCAGATGCCCTCACCGCACTGGCATCAACCTCGAATCCCATAATAAAACGAGTGATACAAGTCGAAGGAATCAAAAAGCCGAGCATCGATCTACCATGCAAAGGGCGTAACTCGTCGGAAAACAACCACCATCTGATAGGGACGATCATTACAAGAAGCAAGGCCAGTAGTGCGACCCAAGACATCATCGACGAAATGCTTCGGGACGAAGAAATCTTCAGCTACCCCCACGACGAGGATGTCGGAATGTCGCAAAATCCCGAGAGGAGTTGTGCACCGCGCTCCCAAACTAGAAAGGTAGGAAAATCATCTACTCCCCTCGAAGAAGCAGACCACGAGCCTGACGCAACAGCGCACAAAGCCTTCCAAGATGAAGGTAGAGCCGACTGGAGAATCCCGATCTATAATTAAATCAGCAACGGTGAAATTCCGACGAAAGAGGAAAGGCTAGGAAAATCAAGGCTCGTAGCTCGCGTTATTGCATCATGGAAGAAAATCTATACAAACGAAGCCTAGGCGAACCCTACCTCCTGTGTATATATCCTAAAGATTCTTTCACCATCTTAAAGCAGACCCACGATGGATCGTATGGAAACCACTTGGGTGGCAGATCCATGGCCATCAGAATCAAGAAATACAGATAATTTTGGCCAACGATCGCCAATGATTGCGAGCAATTTTCACTAAAGTGCGATAAATGCCAAGACATGCCACCATGATACACTAGCCCACTCAAAAGCTCTCGTCTATATCTTTGCCGTACCCTTTCATGAAGTGGTCCATAGACATAGTCGGACCATTGGTATCTTTTGGACCAACAAGGTTACATTTTCTTCTAGTACTAACCGACTACTTCACCAAATGGATCGAAGCCGAAGCGTATCAAAAAGTAACAACCGGAACAGTGATCAAGTTGGTTTGGAGGAACGTCATATGCCGACATGGATTTCCATACGAAATAATCACCGATAACGGCTCCCAGTTCATATCTAAAGCATTCACATAATTCTGCAAGAAGTGGAAAATAAAGATAAAAACGGCGAGCCCGAGATGCCCAAAATGCAACGGGCACGCCGAAGCTGCAAAAAAAACTATAATGAACAACCTCAAGGAGAGGCTCGATATTAAAAAAAGGGAAATGGGGAGAAGAATTACACGGCGTTCTTTGGGCGTGCCGAACAACACCGCATACCGCAACGTAAGAAACTCCTCTCTCTCTCCTACGGAGTCAAGGCAGTGATCCCGACCGAAATCAAAGTCCCGAGCCAACGATGCAGGCTATGTCCAGAAAATGTCGAGCTCAACGAAGAGCTACTAATCGACCAGCTCGACATGATCGAAGAATGAAGAGAAAATCGTCAATTCGATTACAAAACTATCAA